TAATAATAATAATAATAATAATAATAATAATAATAATAATAATAATAATAATAATAATAATAATAATAATAATAATAATAATAAATAATAATAATAATAATAATAATAATGATAATAATAATAATAATAATAATAATAATAATAGTAATAATAATGATAATAATAGTAGTAATAATTAATAATATTAATAATAACAAGTAATAATAATAATAAATACATCCACCGATTTACTGATACGATTCGTCCTTTTAGGTTCATCCATACGATCCTGCCAAAGAGCATTGTTAAGGATAAATCGGAAGAACTTGTATTCTAATTACATAACTGCAAAAACCAAAGGTGAGAAAATATTCTTTGCCAAAGCCAGAGCTTGTTAAAACATAGAATCTTGCAAGGCGTATTTGCTGTTTCGATCTTTAATATTTGTTTTGAATATCCAAAACATATGTTTTTTGTTTTTGGAGACATATCAAAAGGGATGAAAACGATGTTGAATTTTGCATATTTAGGAGAAAAGAAAGATATAATAGAAGCTATACGAAGTGTAACGGGAAATGTGAAATTTGAAAATACCTTCAATGGATAATTTATGATTTTTTTACAACTAGAATAAAGCAGTGTATGATTCTTTTTTTTCTTTTTTTTACAGCCGACAATTCAGCAATGTGTTTTTTTGATGAATTATAAAGGTCTTTCTCCTGTTGTACGTCATTGTCACGTGTCTATGTGCTATCAATCAAAAAGATAATCAGGAGAAAATGAGTAATCCTTTCTTACCTTCTTAATTTTTCTTTTTATTTCTTGCTTCTAAACTAGTTTTCGCTGTATTTATCGCTGTCATATCACCGTTAGGAATTTCCGCTTGAATTCTTGTTTTTTGTTTTTGTGTATTTTTTTACTTGAACCGTCTTTGCCTATTTCCTTCCATTTACTTGAGGGAAGTGACGCTTACTTCTTAATAATTTATAAATGTGAAGATATTACTTAATACTTGGGAAGATTTACCATTAGCTATGGTGGATGGAAGGACTTCTGACACAGATACGGCTGTATGTATATTTTATTTTTCCCCAAAAAAAGAGATATCAAATGCCAAACGTAGAATTCATCCGTTAATTAGAACCATCGATGGTCGAGTTTTCCCGGTTTTTCTAATCTGGCAGCTTTTGTTAAGTTTGCACATGTTGTTTCTGTGAGGATTGCTGATAGATATGGCACATATTTCTTGTATGATGATCTTTGTGTGATGAGGAAGAGGATAATCCTCTTCCTAAAGATTATCATTCAATACATATGTAAAAAATTGCCAATAAATAGTGCAGATATAAATTTAAAATAAATCTTACAATTTACAATACATATATTATTGTTATTTTTTGTGATAAACCAAATGAACAGTACTCGCTAACTTTTCGAACAATTTCTAATGATATACTTTTTTTAATGCATTGAAAAGAGAATTTATTTTGCCATTTAAAAAGTTGTTCTCATTTTCACTATTTTTTCTATCGAGTTCCGCTTTTTCCTTCCTCTCATTTTTCGTTTCATATCATTTATTCACCATTATCACTTCTTTTATGTTTTGTCCGTTTGACTGATGATAGTTTCATCAAAGTGCAAAATTTCTCATTTTCTTTTCCTAAGTAGATTGATCGTTATTCCGAAAAATTGTATTACCTTTTTTCCATCTTTCGTGAACTGATGGAAGGGTCGTTGTTTTTTTTTTTTCGAATGGTTGTATAGCTTGTTCCTACCTTTCATTTCCCCGTTTCTTACCCTTACAGCTTTTTTTCTTTAAATTGTGTTTTAAAAAAACAAAAAAATCCTGAAATATATTGTTTAAAATTGACCATCAAAATTATTTTTCTGTTATTTATGATATCTGTATGATTTATCAATACTTATCATATTAGCTTATATAATTATCAATCGTTGTTCTGGTGAGTTCATTAATGCAAATATATTCGACGATCATATATAGTAGTGGAGATTATAAATGTTATCCTAATGTATCTGATAACTTTCCTTGAAGCGTAGAATTTATGCTTTCCAAAAATTTTTTGAGACGTTAAAAGCTTGTTGAATTGTTCATTAGATTTTTTTGTTAATTTCTAAAATTTATCTTTTTTAAATTCCCTTTTTTGCTTCTCTTTCTAATTTTACGCTGCTTAGGTATTCAGTAATATTTGCTAGAATATTTTCGTCACTAGTTTCGAATACGGTTTTGGCTTCATATTAAGCATTATCGTATACAATATTCGACTGGTCCGTAATTTGCGGAAATTTTAAATCTGAGGTTTATATTTATGTTTACCGAGTGGAACCAGCGGTTATCAGCTGTTTTGTCGCTTATTTTTAGTTACTGATTAGATTTATATATATTAGGAGTAGAAGTTATCCGTTGAATCTTCAGTTTTTATAAACTGTTATGCTTGCGGACTCAGTGGAAACAAATGTTGAATCTAAGTGTGATGCTGCTTTTAAGGCCGCTGTTGATTTAATACAAAATATGCCGAAAAAAGGTTGTCATTTAATTTTAAGTTTAATTCTAATTTTATTTGAAACAAGATTTCAACTGACAGTTTGGAGCATTACAGCTGTTATTACCGATGTTATACTGCAGAAAGTCGAAACAAAATTTGCAATAGTATTTTGTGGTTGGATTTTCAGGCGTAATTAGCATTTCGGTAAACCAGAAATTGCGGTTTTATTCATTATTTAAGCAGGGAGTTAACGGAACATGTAACGTTCCATGTCCACCACTTTGGCGCGCTGTTGATCGTATGAAATGGTAGGTTATGTTTTTTCTCTTCAAAGTAACAAATCTAAATAATATGACAAAGGAAGCCTTCAGTAGATTCCAGTGATCTCATTATTTTGCTATAATAATGCTAGAAATAATGTTATTTTTTTTCTGAAGAAAATTAACAATGGTTGGAAAGTGATGCTTAAAACCAAGGTTTTCCTCTAGGTCCTTTAGTCCTGAAGCAGCGAATAAAAATTATTATTTGGAATTAAGATAACTATTCTTAAAAGGCGAGCTTGGAATGCTCTCGGATCAATGGATTCCTTGGAAGCGAAAAAAATTTATGTCACCGAATTAAAAGATATTATCAATCGTGTGCAACATGAGTATGATGTAGCAGAATTGACAAAAGAAAGCGACGAGCGAACGAAAGAGTTACTAAAAGAAAAACTTACTGTCCTTGGATATGGTATTTTTTTCTTCCGAAGCTGTTAAAATGCCTATAAAAATGGATCTGTTTTGAATTATTTTCTTTGAGTAGTCGGATAAAATCTTTTTAACTTCTTCCTTTTTGTCAAAAATTAATTGTTAAATTGGAAATTGTTTCATTTTCCACTCGAATTGCTTCCTCACAATAATCGATACCTTGATGTTGAATCAACTGCAAGATTTTCGTACTGGAAAATCACTCACAGATTTTTTTTATAGACATTCCTAATCATTTATTTATTTATTATTTATTTTTTCAGATGTAAGTGTCTTAAGAATGAGAGAAGATCTGGATGATTTTGAAAAGCAATCATGCAATACGGCTGAGGGAAACTACGAAATGAAAAAACATACAGTGAGTTAAGAAATTTGAATCTGTCAATTATTTATAAAAAAGGAGAAAGGGAAGGGTATTTGCTAGGATTGTAAAAGAAATACTGTAAAAATCTTCAAGTCTATCATTCCATTTGTTGTTTCAACTACTGTAAGCCATAAATCACCTTTCTTTCTATCATCTGCATCTTATTTGTTTTCATATGAATTTATTTAGTTAATACGACTCTACAAAATTTACATACTGATGTGGGCTGTAAATAGGTAATACCTGATTACGGGAAAATATGATATAATAGCCGAAAAATTCAAATATGCGGAAGGAGACAGCTGTTATTATCTCAAAATGAGAATGAGGACTAGCTAGTTTCCCTCGAGTGACGTAGTCGGCATTCGGATGAAACTGCTAGTTCAATGATGAGCCTCTTTCCTAGTCCTTGATCGTCACTAGGATAATAATGGCGCGGAATAATTGAGTAGCCTTAATGATTCTGGAATGGAAATAATTATGGAAAATTTAAGGATAGATCTAATTTTTTTGTGGTTTTAACTTATTTAAAAGTGTGCTAAATTATGATTTATACCATTCATGTGACATAATAAAATGGATCACTCACAGAGTAGTAATGGAACTAATGAACTATCCGATCAGTGTTCAGAATCGAGCACCTCTACCGGAGAATATGTCGATGCAGTTTGCTGCAATCATGTAAGCTGTTTTGATTTCCTGAGTTACTTTCAAAATAATTGACCTATCTTGAGGGACATCAATGATGTCATGGCTTATTTTAATATGAGACTAAACATAAAGTGCTAGTGATTTTTAGCAAAATATACTACAGATATTAGTTTTTTAAAAATTTATCCTCTCTAGGAACCATGTGTTTGCTGCCGGAGACAACCACCTAATCAAAGGTAAATATCGAATTTTATTTTTTCATGTCACCGGAGGATACAATGTATTTTGTACGTGTTCTAGCGTCGGATAGTATGTACAGTTATAAACCTGAGAAAATCCTGTTCGTCACATCTTTTGACATTCCGATTAATGCCAATGTTTGATAAAATTTAAAGAAAATTTGATGATGCCAGACCGGAATGTCGATTATTGGGTATACACTGCCTGGCTTTCAGCCATTCAGTCACTCAGATTTCTGTTGAAAAAACACTACGCCGAGCGAATATTCCCTTATAGGGAACTGCTGTAATATGTACTTATGCCATTACAGTGTTATATTTGCTGCACTTCTTCCTTAAATATTTGCCAAAAAAAAAGTCAACCGTTGTTATCATAAAAGTGGTGCTAAAAAATGTTTGGAAGAGAAAACAGTTGCTCCACTGCAAGATTAAGTACGTATTGAGTTAATTGCAGGACTGATCCCATGAATGGTCGTCATTCTTTCTCTTCTACTTTCGATTCAGAAAACTTGAAAATATTTATGCAGCGACATCTGAAGATAATCGTCAGTTTGTTGATGTATCTTAGGCGTTTATGTGCTACATTTCTGTTAAACTTTAAAGGATGCATCAGAAATCGATGGAAACTAGCAGCTTTCACAGTCATAGTGCCATTTATTGCTTGTTTTATTATGTCTTACTCGTGCTAGAAATGAATGATATTTTGTTAACGCTCACTATCATATTTTTCTTGTTATGAATTATAACAATGACTGCCAATAATTTCCATCATTTGCGTTGTAGTCGTTTTATGGAACAAATACCGTATATAATGAACAGTTTGCATGTTGCAGTCTTGGAAAAAACCCACATGGCGTAGTATGAAGGACTTTTATAGCCTAACAAAAAGTCTGGACAGAACATCACTGGTGAACTATATTTCTTTTCAAGAAGGAACCAGGATTTCAGGCTTACTCCATAAAACTTGAACAAATTACAAAGCTAGGCATATCCGTCATTCGACTTCCTAAAACTCGTACTCTTCAATAGAATTACTCGACTTTTCTAATACTTGTATTTTTCAACATAACGCGACACAGATGATAATAGAGCCATTGTATAACGTCCATAATTAAATGTGCCAAAATGAATTGTATGAAAATTAATAATTCCAATAAATTACTACTATACTACTTGCGCCAAATATGTTTTCAAGTAAGCCACAATAGTTAAATTATTGGATTTAATGATTGTGGAACGACTATAAACCATATCCGTGTGAAAAGGAAAATTATAAAGTTGAAACTATAAAGTCATCCATGCTGGTTAGTTTTCGTCTGGTTAGCTGACTTTATGGCAGTTCTATTCAGAGGACTACACAACGACGACCATCCGGTAGCATCCCTCCTAGAGCTGCATCCAAAATAGCAAATCAACCGCATTCCCTACGGTTCAGTCCCGTTTGGTGAGTCTCACTGGTTAACGGCGTTGCTTTCACATCACTGTGTTTTTGGTCTCAATACGCAAAAGTGTAATCTCGATCTATATGCACAAGTTGTGCTTTCAAAGGTTGCTATAATATGTCATTTGATTTAGGGTTGCCGAGATTTCTCAATGAACAAGATTTTTCACCACAGGTTCGAAATATTGTAAGCACAAGATTTAATAGGAATTAGTCAATTAATAATTATAGTGGACAAGTTTCCGTGGACTTGCATGTTGCATGATACATTATTGGTTGCATTTTCCCACTCAAATGATCAAATGACTCAGATGATCAAAATGATGCGTTACCGGTTGCATCTTTTATTTACGTCATTATTATTTTTTACAGTTCAACCAGTTTCTTATCACGCCAACCAGCACGTGAAGCAAATTTCTACAATCAGATGTTATTATGGCATCGTCATCGACAAGCAAAGCCGATACGAAAACGGCGCTTCCAGCTCGCAATGAACGCGTTAAAGGTGACTAAACTATGCATTTTTTTTTTGCCATTTGTGTAAAAATATGCTCACTTCTTCATCTAGAAATTGTTTTATATTGAAAAAATAGTAGAGTTGTTTGGAACTCTTGAACATATACTTTCCCAAAGGAGTTTTTGATTTAAAGTCTATCGAAAATGTTGGAATAGCATCATTATCATTATGTCTATTTATTAGGTTACTTTTGGAGATCACAGCATAGGTTACGATTACATTTAAACTTCTCAGAAGAGAGCTTCTAATGTCAAGCATCAGATTGCTGTAATAATTCAATGTTTTATAGACACGAATGTACAGCTATTGTTAACGAGGATCGATAATTTAGAACAAATGAAAGGAGTAGTCAGTGAAACATTGCTGGATGTTGTTGATAAACGAATAGCGTATCCCAAGATGATTACTTCATACGTTTCTGAGGCTGGGAAATTCAGAATAAAAAGAATGGTTAGTTGATAAACGGATAGTGTTAGTTGTAAATTAGAGGTTATCTTGTAGTTAATCCATAATTATTTTATTTGGAAAGAAGGCATTCACAAGAATGAGCGGAAACCATTTCACAAATTTTCTTCGTTTATACCGTTTATATTGGGCTTTAAATTTGATAAAAAAGTAAAACCTGGAAATCTGTGACAAATTGTTGAAATGAAAACTTCCTTTTTCTGTGACTGCCGTGCCGAAAAGTTGCTTTGTAGGGATTTTATCATTTAAAGTAGCTTCATCGAATGCTGAACCATAAATAAATATGGCTCCCGCACAATAGACAATAAGCACATAATAATGAAAGGATGATGACCCAAACTGTGGCGTGTGAATATGGATTTATGCGTCTTTCTAGAAATAATTTTTACCTATTGAGAAAGAAACGGCCATCTTAAAATAGCTTATTTAAAATAAGGAATATTTTAAGCAAAGATAATAGTATTTTATGCAGTCCATTGCATTTGGATTACCACATCAACGAGAAGTGTGAAAGATTAACACTAGAGTTAATAATTGACGTCAAGTTTGAGTGGGGTTTAATAAAATAAAATCAGGAAGAAGCAGAATTGGTTTGGCAAACGGAATCTATGGGAAAAAGGGATGTCGAAAAGATGATGGAGATAATTAATAAAGTGAAAGAAACTGAAAAGGAAAACGATGCATTTTTACATCGTCTTGAGGAGGTCTGATTTTCAACTTCTCTTTTCTTTTATATCCATAATTCAGCTACTTGTTCAAGTTCTGTTTCATAGTAAAGGATATTCTCCTGTTTTTTTTTTTTTAGTTTGAAAAAGCAAAACGAGGAACTTGAAAAAACAGCGAAAGTAAACGATGAAACCATCAGGAGCATGGTTTTTTGACTGTTGATTGTTGAATTTCCATTCTGTTTTTGATATATAATTATATCATTATACGTTGGTTTTGTGTGGTTTGTAGTTATATTTAGAAAGAATCATAATATTTGGTTCTGGTAAGACAATTACAAAGTAAAGGACAAGAAATATATAGTTTTGGCCATCAGCTCTTGAGAAAGGAATTGTGTTGACGATAATGGGAACAAATGTTTGATAATTACATTCTCCAATTTTCCTTTAACTACTGGAGGCCACAACATGCTATAATTTATCTCCAACTGTGTAATATATATATATATATATATATATATATATATTTGATTCTTTTTTCAGATTCAGCTAGCTAGTAATCTAGTAATCTGTCTAGGATATTTCACATCGTTTGAAATATGATTATAATTACCAAGTTCAGGTACTATGGATATATTCCATTTGGAATTGTAAATTACATATTTTTACGCAATGCATACAATTATGATCGATATATTACGTTTTAGTTGCAGATTTTTTTTTCCAATTTCATCTTACAGATGATTATTTTACATTGATTGCTTTGAGTGCGTAGCTCTCGTCATAACGCTGGAAATCCGTAAATGAATAACAATTTGATCAACTATTTCTACGCTAAAAGTTTTAATAATTTATAGGATTTTCAACCGGAACTTCCGGAATTTCTGTCCGCATTTAATACCAATACTTTCCGCAGTAAAGATTTAAGCAATTTTCGGGAAATTATTTGAAAAAAAAGAAAGAAAAAACAGAAGGATTAGTCATTCAAAAATGCGAATGTTTTAGTGAAGGAAGTATTCGTTGTTTTTTTGAAACGATATCAATGGAAGAGTAGTGATAAGGGGATATCACATCTAATCATTATTGGTCTGAAAAAAATTGATAGAATAGAATATTTAACATGAATAAACAATCTGTATCAAACACTACATGTTCGGAAATATTGCATAAATGAGGGACGGTACATGTGGGATGTTATTTCAGCCACGTTTCCTTATATTTAGATTTTCCGCCATGATTTTCCCCTGTTTCAGGGTGTTTGCAGTGATAATCAATTACTGATCTTTGATTTCATTTATGATTGCTAGGACCGTCCAGTATTTACACGTACTGGATCTTAGTAAATGCTGCTATTGGGTGTTATTCTGGACCGTGAATTCCTGTTGTTCCGTGTAATGTAATGTGTATTAATTGATTTAAAAATTCATAAATGCATATGTGATTCTTGTTGTATTGCTAATTTGGAAGTATTAATGAATATTTTAGGCTTCAATAAATCGAATTTGATGTATTTCAACCATAATGAGAGTTGGTTATACTTGCCAGTAATTATTATATTATTTTATTTATATCTATATAATATATATACAACGTACGAAATGTCATGATGTTTTGTTGCAATCTTAATGAAATATATTTCGTTTGGCAGTATTACTTATTATTCTCTCGAAAATTGCAGTGTGTTTTTTCATTTTGGAATAATGTTACGAAAGGATAGGAAAATTATTATACTCCTTTCTGATTTTGTATTCAATTCGATTTATTTTTCCCTATTCAATTCTTAAGGATTATTTTATTTGCGACGGAATCGTAAGTAATTCTCTTCATGAATTGTTATTTAGCGTACATCGAATTTTAATGGTTCTACATTTATGCATTGTTTTTGTCTCTTTCAGTACTTATATTTTGCTTGTATGCAAGATCATTTAGATAGACCAATAGCGATGCGTTTGACATTAAGTACATTTTTGAATGCTTTTTTTTCAGGTACAGGTAAGATCTAGCGAAATAAACAAAGTCGTCAGTTACGATGTCTGGAAATACAAAAGATCGCATTGCCATATTTCCATCTCGAATGTCGGTTTTTTGTCAGAATTATATTGTTGTCTAATTTCAGTAGTTATTTTGTAACTTTACCAAATTATTGGTACCATTGATATAAGCTTAGTCTAGCGTTATTTCATAGTATTATGCTTAAGCATTTCTTTTAATTCTTGATACTTCAAAACTCCATTTATTGACAAAAAGTTATCATCTAGCATGAGTATATTTTACTCAAGTTTAAGTTCTGGTAAAAGTTATTTTTGCATGAAATGATAAAGATAGACCTCATGCTTCATAAGCGGTAGGCAGGAATTCTCATAAAATAAAGTATAGGCCTGGAAATCAGCCAGTTTTTATTTGTCTGGAAAAAAACTTAAAAATATTATTTTAGGGCTCAGACCATGATGAAGGCTCGCTTAAGAGCTGCTCAAAAGGGACATAGCTTGTTGAAGAAGAAGACTGACGCACTAAACATGCGTTTTCGTTCAATTTTAGGGAAGATTGTAGAGGTGATTTTTCCTTCCGAAACTTTTTTGTACAGTTCTTTTTTTGAAATAAATAACAGTCCAGACGCATAGTTTTGTTCTTTTCAGTTCTTATTTCAGTTTTAAGTGTTTCCTTTCAACTCTTTTTCTTACTCAGTTTTTTTATCGTTTTTGAGAAAAATGAATATTCTATGGTTTTAAGAATAAGAACTTGATGGGTGAAGTACTTCGTGAAGCAAGTTTTTCATTAGCGAAAGCTAAGTTCACTGCTGGTGATTTCTCACATATCGTTATCCAAAATGTCTCACGTGCTCAACATCGCGTCCTCATGAAGACGGAGAATATTGTAGGTTAGTGCAAATTGATCTTATATAAACATGTTATTACACGATTAATATAACTAGGATGATTTGGTTATTCCGCTCGATATTACCTATAATCATTTTCGCTGGATATATTACCCATAACCGTGTAATCATTTTCTGTAAGAGCCCTTGCCAAAAAATTTGCTTAGTGTTATATATTCGGGGAAGTTTTGACTCATTTTCATAAATCACTGACTGGTTTGTAGGGAGTAGGGAAGTTAGGGACTAAGAAAAAGGAAAGAAGATGAAAATGGAAAATTGCTAAAAATTATAATCATTGGTGACGGAAAAAAGCCATGTCCTCCTCGCACGGTTTGCTAATAGCTGTGTGAGATTCGTTGGATGTTTTGTAATAAAATGACTTGTGCTGGATTAAAATTTTCAGTTTCAAAGCTTTAGGTGTTTTCCTGCCAGTTTTTGATTCATATATTGATGGACCCGATACATACGATCTGACTGGTCTTGGTAAAGGTGGTGGAAATATCGCGAAGTTGAAAAAAAACTATAGTCATGCAGTAGAGTTGTTGGTTGAATTGGCAACATTACAAACATGCTTTTTAACTCTCGACGAAGCTATTAAGATTACTAATCGGCGTGTTAATGCTATTGAACATGGTTTGTTGATTTTCCTTCATGAATGGAGAGAGACTAATTGCATCATTGTCGTTTTCTTTCATATTTTCCTAAAAGTGCTTAGAAAAATTTAGCTTTATTGTCATGCAAGTGAGCTTTTTTCAGTGATTATTCCAAGGATCGAAAATACACTTCTGTACATTGTTACCGAACTGGATGAAATGGAGCGTGAAGAGTTCTATAGGTTGGCTAATTTCTTCGGGCATTTAGTGAGGCTCACCTTTGGTAATAGTAAAGGCGATTAATAGACACATTTTAACGTCCGAAAAAGTTTTCCAATGCTAAGCAAAAGCTCTGTTCACTGATTCGGTTGGGACCATTTGATATTAAGCAGTTACTTGCAGCGCTTTTTTTTTCAGCTTTCGAAATTTAGATTTTTTAAAGTATGCATGTCGAATTTTGTTTTCAAAACTTCTTCGTTGAAGAATGAAAAAAATACAAGCACAAAGGAAGAAGATTCGTGCTGAGGCAGAAAAAGCGGAGGCGGATTATCAAATGAAAACGGAGACAAGTAGTTGTCGAAACGAACAACCACGAAACATTCTGGAATATCAGGATGATATTCCGATTTTGTTCACGTAGTGCGATCACTGTTTCTCATTATTGCAGCATTCTTCGTGCGATAAGATCACTTCTTCCGACATTCTTCCTCTAGTTCGTAGCTGGAACTTCAAGAAGGTTCCATTCAAGTTTCATTAATTCAATTCAACTAATTCAATTAATTTAACAGACCCAACTAGGATGAAAATTTCATACATCTCAAGTTTTTTCATCATGGACTTACCGATCTTTTCGTTGTGTCGATTTAAATTTTCATGATTATGTAGAATGTTATGTTCTAATGACACAATACTGTCTCTCTGCTTGCTTTCACATGAAGCGTCTCTGCAAACAAATATGAAATAGTTTCGGCACTTCAGACATATTCGATTTTCAACCACATTTCTAAGATATTCATTTGTATGCTTGACATTATAGGGTTATTCATATCACGAATATCTGACAGTTCATTTCTGTATATCTCTTAGAATGACTCTATGTTTAATATTGGTAGGTATTGTATCAGTATAGAATTTTATGAAATAATATAAAAAGTTACGCTTTTGATGATTATGAAGTGATAGTCATTTTCTTTCGTTTTTCTTTTTCCATGTGGTTGTGATAGTTTTACGGTTTTATGTATATTATTCCACCTTTATATATATTTTCCATAGCTTATGTATTAACGTCCGGCTTTATATTTAGATATGATTTACTGACTTCTCTTGTTGTATTGTGTATTAATCAAAATTTCGATTGAAATCTTAATCGTGCAGTGTTGCTTTCATTTCAAAAGTTATCATATATCAGTTGACCTAAATGAACTCCTTTGCGTAACTGTTTGGATAATGCTGTGGGTATTTAACCAGCATCTGAAATTCGTGAAATGAAAAAAAAATGGTTGGAACTGAACTTGTCGTCAATAGTTTCAGTAAAATGGTCAATTTAATGAAAAGAATTCTAACTTCAGGAAGAGGAGAGATTTAAGCCTATCATGCTATAAGGCAATAAAATGATCAATTTGCTGTTGATAATCCTAATCTCCGAGAAGAGTTGTCTTGTAATGAAAGGAGAATTTCCCCGTAATTACAGCAACTTTTCATTCTCTAAAATTGAGCCTGAAACTTTGGTATAAAATTAAATAGAAAATGAGGGAGTGCTTACCCATGATAGTAATATTTGGATTTCTATATTCTTATGCATCAGTTACATTACTTCGAAAAGATGCATTGAAACATTGAAGGAATTAGTCTATTTTCATAAAATTCAACAAGCATTCTGGAAGATTCAGCAAATTTGAAATTAATTTTATCTTTTATTTTTGCCTCAGTTACTGGACTGTTTTTAAGTTGCATAAAAAGGCAAAGCTTGCTAAATCATTCTGGACTGTATGTATATATGTGTAGGTATGTATGTATGTATGTATGTAGAATTGTATATTCAGCCCAGTGCATTATAGCCTTGTCATTGAGATTAAAAAAAATTATTTAGAATAATTTGAGAACAAAAAGTGAGCATTTTGTTCATCTTTGAACTTATTCAGTGGACTATTTATTTGTATGTATAATTCCATTCATTTATAATAGTGATGAAATTTTTTTTCTAAATTTTACTTTCATTTTATCGGCGATAATATTACAGTATTGTGTTTGTTTAGCTAATTTCAGATAAGTAACATTTGTTTACTTTTTTATTGATTTATTTATTTAATCATTTCTTTTTCTTTTCAGGAAAATTAGGTGATAAAGGATTAAATTTCACAACAATGGATTGTAAGGTTGCAAGGATGGGAAATGGGAGATCGGGAATTTTGGTAAACAGGCATGTGCGGGTAAAGGTAGGTAAGAAAAAGAAATGACTAAAAAACGGGAAGAAGTTGAGCCTGATGGGGAAGGTAACGAACCTATTGTATGTTTGAATGGACATATGGGTGAAATAACTGGGTAGGCACACGTTAGTATGTACGGGTAAGTGTTGTGCGCAAATAGTGAAATATGGAAAATATATAAAGAAATTATATTTTTCCTCTTTTATTAGTTATTCATTTATTTATTTATAATTTATAATTTATAACAATTTATTTATTTATAATTTATAATTTTATAATTTATTTATAATTCATAACAATTTATTCATTTATAATTTTATAATTTATTAATTTATAATTTATATTTATAATTTATAATTTATTTGATTTATAAAAATTCATTTATATTTTATAAAATTTATAATTTATAATTTATAATTTACGATTGATTGATTTACAATTTATAATTTATACATGTACGATTGATTGATTGATTTATAATTTATAACATAATTTATGATTGATTGATTGGTTTATTTATTTACTTAGTTTTTATTTGCGTATTTATTTATTTATTTACTATTTATTTGTTACTTAAAATTTGTAATTTATAACTTGTAATTTATAATTTATAATTCATAACGTATAATTTGTAATTTATTACTTGTTATTTGTTACTTATTATTCATTATTTGTTGTTTATTGTTTCTTGTTTATTATTTGTTGATTATTTATTGTCTAATATTTATTATTCGCCATTATTTATTATTGTTAATTATTATTTTTAATTTTTTATTACAGTGCTTAATTTCACATACAATGACATTTTATCGACGAGAATACTCGGAGTATTCTTGATGGATTAATTACCTCGGATTAATTACCTTCTTCATGGATTAATTACCTTAATAAGAATAATAAGAATAGAATGAAGTATCCTTACTCACAGGTTAGTTACCTTTAATAGTCGTGAGTAAATTACTCTTCATTTTCATAGTAGTAATTTTGAATGTCTCTATAATGTGGATATATGCCTGTTGCAGTTGTTTCTATTGATGACAACAAAATAATTCAAATTAATGTGAATTGATCGTGCCTAAGCATGTAGGCCCATAACCTTCCCCTCTTTTCTCTTGGCTGTTTAACCGAAAACATCAAAATTGCCAGCTGGGCTTTTATATCAAAACTTAACTATGGTACTAATTTATTATCAATCATATGTTCCCCTTTCTTTCTCTCTCTCTCCCTC